TTTTTTTTTTTTTTTTTTTTTTTTTTTTGCGCATTAAACAGGCAGGTGAAGTGAGCAGGATTTTTTTTTTTTTTTCAATTTTAGGTAGCCACGCGGGAAAAAAAAAAAAAAAAACAAAAAAAAGATTCATAAAGGAGAAGGCTAAATGAAAGGAGCTACACCACAACTTATACACACTTGCGCCGATCACTTAAGCAATCACCATAAAGCCTTTCGCAGCTCCCCCTTTTTTGCCTAAGGAGAACACGATTAACTTGTGCAAAGGGCCTGGCCACGAACTAAGTGACACCTGGCAAAATCGATTAACCGAACTTGCGAATTAAAATGTTCATAGTTGAAAAAATTGGGGCTTGACAAAGACAAAAAAAAAAAATACATACGCAAAGGAGTGCACAAATGAATGCACAAACGAGTGCGCAAATGTATGCCCAAGGGCATGCACGTACGCACATATACCCACTTGTCTGCTTGCCCATTCTTCTTCCCCACTTGAAAAGGCCGGGTAAAGGAAGCGTTATGGGCGCTATACTCTTAACGTGGAAAAAAATCGACAAAAAAAAAAAAAAAAACTCCTTGAGATTATGCACACATTCGGTTCCTTCGGGATGAATGCCCGGCAGGGGAGACTTCCACACTTGCATGTTCTGCGGAGGGATACACATGAACGACGTGCGCACCCCAATTAAAGAGAAGACACATAACCATTTCTCGTACCGCCTTTCTGTTTGGTTGTACTTAACGGTAACGCGGAAAATGAAAAGAGAAAAAAGAAAAAAAAAAAAAAAAAAACATATCAACAAACATTACGCATCGAGAGAACGCGCGTCCACATTGGTAAGGAGGATAGACCTGATAACGCGGCGCGTGTCGTAACACCTGGTGAGAACCATTTGTCGTCTCTCTCCCACACATGAGGTCTTTTTAAAAAAGGCTTTTCTTCCTCCAGTGGAAAATGTCCCCATGTTCGTCATCAAGTTGTAAATTATTTGCATTCCTTTTTTCTTTTTTTTTTTTATTATTTTTTTTTTGCTTTTGTTTACCCTCGTGGGTGTCCATTTCTACCACCCCCCGGTTGGTCGACTTCTTCACAATTTCATCCAAAATGTGTTCCTTGTCATCGAACTTATCATCATACAAATAATCGATATAGCTGTTTTTCTTTTCCTCGTACACATTTTGCATCATTTTAAACTCGACCAAAATATTCTTTTTCTGTTTTTTAATTTCTCCAATCTTTTGGTTTATCTTAGCCAGGGAAATATTTTCTCTCACCATTATATCTTTTTCTTTATCATCGAAAAATCCCTTGGGTAAATTTTCATATTCATTTGTCTTTTTCCCCTCGTCCCTGTTCTCATCAGCACACTTGCTAGTTGGTGTATTTCCACTTGTGTGTGCAATTGGACCATCACTTTCCTTCATCCCTCTTTTTAATTTTAGCATGTCGTAAATTTCGTCAATGTTAAAATGGTTATCATTATCGTTTCTGTCTTCATCACCTCTTCCTCCCTTTTCCATTTTTTTTTTTTTTTTTCGAAATTGATTCAATTCTTCAAGTAGCTCTACCTCTCGTTCTTCATTCTCTTCTTTCTCCTCATCATACGTGTCACCTAAAATGTATTTTTTCTTCTCCACAAGAATTTTGTGTAAGTAGTCCAACTCCTCGTAATAAGCTGTGTCGAGAAGTTTGTAGTTTGTCAAATCTTCCATATTAGTACTGAACAGATTCAGAATTTCGTTTCCTTCTTGTTCTTCCTCTCCATCGCTTTGATCGCCTTTACCCCTAGACACGTCTCCTATTTGCGTTCGTTCCCCCCTTTCGAAAGTACCCCCCTCATGGTCTTGTTCTACATCCGAATGGTATTCTCCCTCACTTAGCAATTTCCTTTTTTTTTTTATTTGCTTGTGAAAATTTTCATTTTCCACCAATTCTGCACTTCCAAGAGTGTCCTCTATAATTTCGTACGTTTCGATCACTTCAACGTTTGGTTCGTTTTTTAAATGAAATTTGTTTCCGCTTCGCTGTCCCAAGGCATGCATTCCATCACCGATCTCCTGCGATGATGCAGACCTGCCACTTGATATGTCCTTGTCTTCACTTAAGCCATATGTGACATGTACTCTATTAAGTCCGTCTTCTTCAGAAAGGTGATCACGTTGATCTGCTTTTCTCTTCCCACCAGGGCTTCCTTCCAAAGGGGTGGTACCTCTCTTGTCACTTTTTTCACTTTTTCCATAAATGAAAGTCTTTATGGAGTCAAAAAAATTTGCAGGCAAGTTGGCCTCAACATCCTTGTCCTCCTCCTCCTCCTTGGAAGCTCCTTCTGAATGCTCACTTTGCTCTTCATTGCTATAGTCCAAAAACGCATCCTTAAAATTGTTATTTTTATTTAGCCTGTTTATTGGCGCAGTCGGTTCGGCGAACAGAACCCTTTTTTGCATTTTTTTGTCACTTGTTTTTTGCATACTCATTTGTTCACTGCTGCCCATGGGGCCGGATGGTCTTCTGCCCTGACCAACCTCACACAGTTGTTCTCCTACATGGTTATATTTTTGCGAAACGCTACCACGTTCGGAGTTATTTTGAATTTTTAAAAAGAGCCTATCCTGTTGTGCACTCTTTGTGTAATAGTTCCCCGGTGTGTCTTTCCCAGTCGGGTACTCTTCCCCCCCTTCTGCTTGCTTCACCTGTTCCGTTTTTTTCCTTTCCTCTCGGAGTAACTTCCTCCTTTCCTTCTCCTGCTTGATGAGGTCCTTAATGTTGGTACTCATCTTGTCATTCTTCTCTTTGTCGGGGTACACGTGCTACCATTCGGCGCAAGTCACACAGAGGGGAGTCATTCCAGCGGCCCGAGCGGAACAAACACAAAAGAAAACAAAAAAAAAAAGGTGAAACTGTGAACGGGAGAATCCCTGCAAACGCCGCTTAACCTTAACGCTTTTCCAAAAGGGGAAAAATGCCCTTTCGAAGGCAAAAACTTACAAACGCGTGGCTTCATTCATAGAGGGGGTCATAAAATGGAAAAATGCGCCCGACTTGGGGGGGGGCATATTCACTTATCTAATAATAATATGTATTTTTTCCCCTCTTTTCCTGGCATACCATTGCAAAGGTCATTTTATGCTTTAAGATGGAGTTTCAAAAAGGAATGACTTCCATCCACCCGCGCTAGAGGTGAATATGATTTGCCAATTCCTTCTATTGGAAACTCCCCAAAGCTACAAGCATATTTTTGTACGAGCAAAAAAAAGCGCCAAAAAAAAAAGGACGAATAAAAAGTATTTTTTTTTTTTTATACGTGTAGAATTCCCCTCTACGTTGCCCACAGCGTGCGCTGTCCGCGTTAATTTGTTTCCCGTTTTTTTTTTTTTTTACCACCCGATGAACGTGTAAAGAGTGCGAATAATGGTCCATTCGGGGAGGGCACAATTGCAAGTCTGGTGTTTTAAAAAATACGTGGTGACATGGATGAGGCAAGATGGAAAAGGCACCGTTTCGCTCGTTTGCCTTTTTACGAGTTTGCTCTTTTTTTTTTCAACCTCAGGGGGAGCAGGCCTAATTTGCTTGACGCGTGCCGCAAAGTACACTTTTAACCTGTGTGTCTGTTTTTTTGCGGTATATACCATCTGTTTTGTTTTTTTTTTCCCGGGGTAGTTACACGTTTTTCCTTTTTCCGTGAAACTGCTTTACGTCCTATTTCTACTTGTTCAATTGTCAATTTGTTGTTTTGTTCGCGGGAAGGACAGCTACGTATGCTCACCATGCACATGTTTTTTTTTTTGCCTTGTCAGGGGGCATATATTTTTTTTTTTTTTTTTTTTTTTTTTTCGTATTGGCTTCGTTTTGCTCTGTTGTGTTGCCCTTTTTCCACATTTTTTTTTTTATCCAATTTTCCGCTTTTTCTTTTTTTGATCAGTGTTGGAATTTTTTCCTTTTTCTACAACCTTCCATATTATTATTTAGGCCCTTTTTGTTTTTTTTTTTTTTACAACTCACCAAGTAAATACAACGCAGTGTGTTTTATCCTGCCAGCGTGCGCAATTTTTTCGCTAAAGAGGGACATAAAAATTGGTTAACAGAACAAAGTGCAAGACGCGGCGATTTGGCAGCATATGTGTTTGCATGCTCATGTGTAAGTAAGCACCTGTCTGGGGGGTTGCTATCAGTGCGGAATTTTGCATTTGAAGGGCAACTTGCTTTTTTTTTTTTTTGCGAGTCTATCTGACGCCCCTGCTCACATTAGCCGCCCAATCCTTGTGATGGAGAAGATCTACCTGAAGGTGTTCGAACTGACAGGGCTGAAGGAAGACGACACAGGAAAATATTACATAAAAGTATATTGGAAGAATAAAAAGTACAAAACAGCAGTGCAGGAAGATGGGTACTATTTTTTCAACGAAGTTTTCCTCATACCAGTAGAGCATGTAGCAGATGACAAAACCCAAGTCTTGTCGATTGAAGTTTGGCTAAGCTCATTATTTAACACAAAAGTTGCTTATACTTTTTTTACGTTAGATTTTATAAAAAAGGAACAAACAGTGAAGCAAAAGGTGAAGCTAATTGACATATTAAAAAGTTGCACGTTGGAGTTATCCCTAAATATAGTGCGAGACCAAATGGATGTAACTTTTTTTAACTTTAAAGAAATATATCCTCATAAGACGGAAAAAGAGATAAGAGATGCGATTTCGATGCACCGAACTGAATCGGGAGTTCTTCAAATGTTCCGAAGTGAATACGCCAGCAGAATTAATTCACGTCCCCAAACGATTCCACCACAAGGGACACAATGGGCAGGACAGGCTGCACCTTCTTCCACCAATCCGTACCTTCAAAGGGATGACCATCGAAAGGACAACATGCATTCTCCCCCTGGAGCAGAATCGTATGTGTATGCGGCAAACCCGTATGTACCCATGACCCCCGCAACCGCTATGACAAATAATCACTACCACTACAACCCAGTAGTTCACCAAAAGGAATTAACCTCTGCAGGTGGTAATATCCCCTTTTCTGTACCCAGCCAGTTGAATAATGGGGCCGTTCTAGCCAATCACTCTACACACCATGCGGGTGTGGGTATGAATATCAACACAAGCGTTAGTAACCCTGGCGACAAATATGGCTTGTGTACCCCCCACATGGGGCAAAATTTTTACGCAGGGGGAAACCACACAAATCACGCTACCTACCAAAGTGGTATGTACAACGTCGGTGTAGCATCGCCCTACTCAGACAAAATTCTACACCGCTCATCTGGAAATAAAAAAAAAGCATTACTGATAGGAATAAATTATTACGGTTCTAGGGAAGAATTAAGTGGTTGTACAAACGATACAGTTCGAATGATGAACCTTCTAATTTCAAAATATAATTTTCACGACTCACCAACAAGCATGGTTAGATTAATTGACAACGAAAGCAACCCTAATTATAGGCCTACCAGAAAAAATATTCTGTCTGCCCTAACTTGGCTCACGAAGGATAACCAGCCAGGAGATGTTTTTTTTTTTCTGTACTCTGGACATGGGTCGCAACAAAAGGATTACACATACTTGGAAGACGATGGGTATAATGAGACCATCCTTCCTTGTGACCATAAAACGGAGGGACAAATTGTTGATGATGAGTTGCATAGGTTCTTGGTTCAACCTCTGAACGATGGAGTTAAATTAATTGCGGTGATGGACTGCTGCAATGCGGGTAGTTGTATTGATCTGGCTTATAAGTATAAACTACAGTCGAACAAATGGAAGGAGGTGAAAAACCCCTTCCACGTGGTCTGTGATGTTAGCCAATTCAGTGGGTGTAAGGATATGGAGTTTTCGCGCGAAATTGATACAGGCAGACATGCCCCTGGGGGCGCACTCGTCACGGCCATGATACACGTTTTGGGGACAAGCGAGGCGGCACGTGGGGCCAACACACTCACATACAACCACCTACTGCAAAACGTGAGCAGCTACATCAGGAGCTATCACGACCAAAAAATTGTTTTCATGGCTTCGCAAAAATTCGATTTGGATCGAGTTTTCGACTTTGATCACATCCTCAAAAATAAAAATGGCAACTTGGGGCAAAATGTGAACAAACTCGTGCACAAAAATAAGAAGACAAAGAAGAACAAGAAGAACAAACACGATTTCTTCTCCCTCTTCTGAAGTGACGGCGAATGCATGATGTGCAGATATATGTGTATATAGGCATGGGGAACCCAAGTGGACAGCCTTCGATAGGTTAATTTTTTTTTGCCCAACTATTTATTGTAATTGTACTTTTTTTTTTTTTTTTTTTTTTTTACCCATTTTTTGGCTCACTTGGCTTTTTTTTTCCCCTGTTCATGCTCACCATCCTTCATTTCAACTTAGCAACTTCCAACATATTGAGAATTAAAAATAGCAATTTTTTTCCACCATCACTGGGGAGGCACATTTGGCAGTTCCACAATTGGTCGGTCTCCATTTTGTGCATAATAGCTTGTCCCCCCCGTGGTGGGTCTTTTTTTTTTCTGCGTTGAGCGTATACCGTGGGAAGCGCCCAGATGGGCAGAAAAAAAAAGAAAATTCATAATTAACACGTGTTTTGTTCGGCATGCATGTGTTTATCAAGCTAAGTTTGTTTTGTTCCATTTTGTCTTTTTTTTTTTTTTTTTTTTTTTTTCACTCGACTGGCCCAAATGTGAAGTAGGTTTATTTTTTGGGGGGCATGTCCAACAGCACCGCTGAGCCTTTTTTTTTTTTTTTCCCCTCAGTTGACCCCGTTGGTGCATTTTTCTCCCTCGTCACTTGGGTCCATCTGATCAGACCATCAAAGTATCGCCTGGTGGAGGTAGTTTACCAACCTGTCTTAAAGTCAATCTGCTCATGGGTTAAGCGAAAAAGGGCCGTCTGTGAAACCCCAGCTCAAGTGGCAAAACGTGTGCGGCTACGAAAATGGACACGGCTAATTAGTTTGCAAAAAAGGAGAGAACTGGTCCAAGCGGCAACGGCACAGCTTTGTTGACTTCGCCATGTGGAGAAAAAAAAATAAGCAAACAAATGAGTGCACGAGTGAGGGAATGAACAAATGTATAACATAATGAACGATTGAACAATTCGAACGAATCTGTAAACTTTTCCGAAACAACAGGACATGTCTTTTTTTTTCAACTTAGACACAACTTTTTCTTTTTCTTCTTAGTTTTACACCCACGCGTGAAATACTTTTCGCACGCGTAAAATACCTTTCTCACGTGTACGAAGTTTACCTCTCTCTGCACAGTTGGGACAACTTCCTCCACGTTGTCAGAAACACCTGAACGGGGCTTCTGCTTGAAATGTAAATGCCCGTTCACGAACCAATCTGCTCTTCTGCGAACCCGCGTGACACACGTGTTGTGTAAACGCGTTCCCCAAATTTTGCCCATGTTGCGATTTCCCCTTACTACCACATATATATATATTTCTACCCCACCATATGGAAAGCCCCTCGAACGAACTGCTCATCTTGCACTTCGTCATACATGACGTATACGACGGAAAAGAAAATGAAATCTCGATGCATGAAAAACCGTATATAAAATTTTATTGGAAAAATATAAAGTACAAAAATTATTTAAAATTTTTTTCAGATGAAATAAACTGGTTTTGTGAATTTTTCCTCCCATATCGACATGGAGATTATATAGAAAATTTGATAATGCAAATATGGGCAAGTAGCTATTTGAGCAGAAAAAAAAAGTTAGCATATAATTATATAAATATAAATAATGTGGAGAGGAATGGAAAAATAAATGGAAAGACAGAACTTATTGGCAAAAGAAAAGGATTAAAAGTTATTTACAGCCTGCAGATCATTTCCTATGCTTTATACAAATTCATGAAAAATACACAAACATTTATTCTGAGCAAAATATCCATATACAAAATGATGCAAATACATAGGCAGAACCAGAGGGATCCTTGCCGGGAACAGACAAATTTATTTGAAAAATATATTTTGTCCTTATTTCAGAAGGAAAATTACCAAAGGAAAAACACTGCCTTGCGGTTGAAGACGATTCGACGCGGACATAACCCTAAGAATGTAATCAACATCAACCACGTGCACACACCGATCGGGTTGAAAATGGGGAAGAAGCAACGGGAGAAGATGGTACCAAACGAATTGCCCATGTCACCTCTTGTACAGGACAACATGCACGAGAAAGGGCCGACAACGAAGAAAGGACAAAATGTTGAAGCGACAGGTGAGAATGTGCGCGAACTGGGGGAGACGAAGAAGTCTGATCCGGGGGAAGAAGTCAGGCAGAGGAGACAAAAGGCTAAGGAGGACATGCGCCGGAAGGAGAAAATGGTTTTATTCGCAAAGGAGACGGACGCATACCGATCACAACAGATGCCGCATCAGCGCTCAAACACCATGAAGGCTTTACGCGCAAAGGCGATGGACGAACTGTACATACGGGCGAAGGAAAAGTTACGCCAAAAAAACAAGGATGATGTACGTCCACGGGAAATAAAAAAGACAACCACAGACACAACGGAAGAGGAAGATGTAATGAAGATGCATGATGACGGTCAAGTCAAATCCGAAATAAAAAAGAAAATCGCTCCGTTGCGTAGCAACACAAGTTGTATGAAAAAAAATTCCTTTTTCGACTTAGGTTACAAAATACATAAGTCCACACCGAAAAAAATTGTTAAGTTCTGCAGCCTTAAATTTGCCAAGCTCTACGATGCAGAATGAGGTGTCACAACGGTTTAGCTGCTAACAGCACCAGACATTGGCCTCCCCATATCGTTTCGTTCTATACCCACCAGGATGAAATAAAAAGAGGGGGACAAACGAAATGTACAAATGGGGGCCAGACGGGATATGCAAAAATAAAACGTCTACCTGCGACCGCACCACTACCGCGGAAAATATTGAACTAGGGGATATTGTCACAGCTTCCCTGCGAGGATGGCTTCCCCATAATTTTTTTTCTTTTTCAAATAGTTTAATTTTTTACTGCTCATTTTGCGTTTACAAATTTTTTTAAAAGTTTTTTTTTTTTTCTTTTTCCCCAACGTACGCGCAGTCCGCATGGAAGGGAAATTGCAGAGTGGCTATAAAAAACTAGTGCCGTTGTCGCCGTGTTGCTGTTTTTTTTTTTTTTTTTTTTTTTTTTTTTTTTTTTTTTTTTTTTTT